CAGGGTTTGAACTGTGAGTTAACCATGCCCTGACTTTAATCAGCCCAGAGGTTGTTTCAAAGTTTGATAAAATTTATCTTTGTTTTTTGTTGTTACGAAAGTAATGGAACAATTAATGACTCGCAAAAAACATTAATACATTCTTGCTCATATCCGCGATGCTCTCACTAACCCTAGTAATGAAGTTCATGTTAGTAAGCCACGGCAAAGAGAGGCGTGGCTCATAGGTAGTTGATTGGCTGGAAAGGTAGGGTTGCACCAAGTCTGGGCAGCATTTGAGGATCTGAATGATGAGCTGCCGTAAGTGAAGATTTTGGTCATGTTTAGGAAGAGACTGGAGAAACCGAAGCAAGACTGGATTGTTGGATCTGTGGGAAAAACATATTTGCTATATTAATTATTTCTATGATTTATACTTACATGTAAATTACTGTACTTGAAGACAACTTATAAATTACAAGGAAAAAGAGTTTGAAATTATGTGTCATCRGTGCCATGAAACACAAGACACAGAGGTGGGGCTTATGACGGTAAGGATATTTGAGGAAGCAGACAAGTGRGCTAGTAACAAAGAGGGGGGGAAAATAGCAACAAAGAGGGCTTAAAACTTTAAGGATAATTGAGTAAGCAAACTAGTGGTTTATAAGTTTTTTTTATAACTGCAATCCTTTTATATGATATTGTTATGGTACTCCGACCACAATGTAAACTACTGATTTTCCAGTAATTGTGTATATSCAATAAAGTCGTGGTTGTCATTGTCATCATCATCCTCAGCATCATTATCATTATCATTACTCAAGGGAAGGAATTTTTTGTTTTAACCCTCAGATTTTGAACTTGTGCGTGTAGTACAAAGGATAATAGGAATATTAGCCATGCCAAGGTTGTGGAAAAAACTGTGTTGAGTTGTGATTACAATGCATTGTGGGACTGTTAAGGGGACATATTTTCAAGATGGCATCTATTTTGTCCCATAAAATGGTCCCACCATACACTACAATGACGACTCAACCCAGTTGTTTCCTCAACCTCAGCAATAGTAGGAACACATAGAGTATATACCTTCCAGAAAACATTCCCATTTTGTTTGCAAAGCAGATCCCAAACTTAAAAGTACAGCAAATATCCTTTAACATCTTGTGAATTCTCTCTTTAATTGTCTGTCTTTCTTCTTGTTCATCCTCTTCCATATTTTCTTCTTTGTCATAGTCATACAATGAAGCAAGTTTTGTAAGAACAAATGGACTAAAGAACTGAACTTTGGTTTTCTTTGGAATGGCATTATTTTGAACAACCTAAAATACAGTGGAAAAAATAATTAAATTGCATATTCAATACATGACAATCTAGGATCATGAAGAAGAATCGAGTTTGACGTTTGGAGGTTCAATAGTACCATTTCTCATTCCGTAAATACCASTGTGTTTTATGACTACAGACTCATCTGTACAGACTTAGCCTCACTTAGAACAAATCATTTGCAAAAGTCAACTGTAATGTAAAGAATGTGCAAGTTGAACAATACCAATGTTTTGAAATTTCACAGACTTTKAATGGTATCTGTGAATAGCTGACTTATARACGAGGCTAAGCCTGTACAAATGAGTYTGTGGTCTTCAAGAACAGTGGTATGCAGAGAATGCGAAACTGGTGTATTCCTGGACTCAGCATCACATATCGTTGTTGTCATTGTGTCATTGTTGCTGTCGTTTCATTGTCTTCGTCATTGTCATTATTCATTATTATCATTATCATCACTATCAAAAAAGTTATTATTAACTTTAAATAAGAAYGATATGGAGAATTTCTATACACTTTGAATGTATGTATATAGGTAGATTAAGATGTRTGTATAGGTAGATCGAAACAACCTGGATCAAAATGACTGTTAATCAAAAAGACTGGCAACCTGTAACTTGTGTCCCTCCCTTGATTTAAGGGTTTTTCACAGGGTTTAAATGTTATGGCACAATAAGTTTTAATCCATTTACCTTMTGGTGTAACACAGTCAAGACCAGGTTGACAACATCAGGTGGATCAGAGGGAAAGAGTTTAAATATCGATGAAACGAAACCTGCGGCATAGTTCAAAGAGTATAAAGAATGAATGAATGTCTTCCACTTGAGTATAATGTTTTATGATTTCCCGACCACATGTCATTCCCTAGAGTATCATTTCTTTGTTTAATGGTTGCCATGAGAAACACATGAATATGGATACAACTCAAACAAAGATTACTTTTCTCAAGGGAATGACACGTGGTCTTAATATTATGCCCAAGCTAAAAAGCAAGTTTCCATTTCAGGCATAACATATGGGCCAGGGAAATGCAGGGATTCTTGAAGAAAAGGTGGACTGACCTTTGATGTCAAGAACATGTCTTATGGTTGCATCATCTCCATACATTAGAAACGATATGATAAAATGAACGAAGCAAGTTCTGATGTCCTCACTGGCCTATAACATTGAAATAAGAATGGATACAAGAATTTAATT